AGTCAGTGAGTTCGCAATGGTTCTGCACAACTGATACCTAAACTTGTGTTGAGTTTGGCAAACTGTTGGTTAAAATGGCACTTGTTATCAGAGTTCTGTCTAAGGTGGGTGGCTGGGCAGCCACTTAATGTGGAAATAGTAAATTTACACTCCTTACCTCTAATTCTTTTTTAACATTCATCTGCTCAATAGTGTTCTAGTGCCTGTAGTGATGTTCATTCTATCCATGAGTGTAAAAAATTAGATGGAACTTTGCTTGTAATATTTATTTACTCATTCTATGAAACTTATATTTCTGCTAAGTACTACATTTTTATTCTCTTGCATTTGTTACTTCAGTAAACAAACATAACATAAAAATAAAAAGTGTCAAATAACCAGAGGGTGACACACTCATTAGTTTAAGTTCTATTTTATGCTCCAAATTCTTGTGAGGTATTATGAGCACATGATGCAATTCCTGAGAGTGTTCAAAGAGTTAAAAACATTGTCAGAACAATAGGTGTAGATGCAGCAGAAGCAGTAAGGAGTTTTGCAAAGATGAACATAATATGTTCTGCGAAGAGCAGTTGCCTGTTTTGAATATATCGAACACAATGACTCTTGTCCAACTGGCCTACCTCTAAAGAACTGGAATCCTTCTCCTACAGTGAAAACATAGTTAAGGAGAAATCAAACAGTAAATGCTGCTCAGATGAAAGTGAAGAATATTGCAAGTGAGGAAGTTAATTGAGAAGCAATGGGGAAATATTTGAACAGTTTTATTGTTTCCTTTTCAGCTGTTAATAAATATTTTTATTAATATTTTAAACTCATAAAACAATCTAAGTTTTGTGTACCTCTTCTATTGTTATTCTTTGAGTAGTAATTGTATTAAATAATAAAGTACCTTTTTGTATATCTTTTTTTATACTTAAAATGGTAATTAGGGAAGTGAACTGGTTGTTAAATTATTTTAATTCCACCACTAGATGTAATGGTTACAATTTGGGCTGCTAACTGCAACCACTAGTTGCCCCATTGGAGAAAGACTAGGCTTCCTATTTCTGTAAAAAGTTATCATGTCAGAAACCCACAAGGACGAGTTCTGTTCTGCCCTGCAGGATAGATAAGAGTTGGGATTGGCTAGATAGCAGTGAATTTAGTTTGGGCTTATGCTGTGGTTAAAATCCCATTTGGGAATGAACTGTCTGTTTAGTGAGTGACAGTGGATTTGTATAGGTTGTAATTGGAATCAATCTCTTTTTAGACATAAAAGGAATTAAACAAGCAAATAGCAGTAATGGGAGAAGTTAAATGCCAATGCACAAGGTAATTGTTGCGGAGTCAGGAAACAACCTGAAGAGACCCAAACTCCCCTCCAGAAGTTTCCTAAAACTAGTGCTATTAATTTGGACTTTTAGCTTCTAAAGCTTAAAACAATGTTTTTTGTTTGTTTGTTAAATCCATCTACTTGTGATATTTCTGATATAGCCTTATGAAATAACCAAGACAGCAACTAACAAATTATATGAGGGTAAGTCAAAAGTATTGCTACAGAATCCTAACATTTATATTACACAATAGTAACCAGTATGAAGTGATAATTTCTGAAGATAGTCTCCATCTAGGTCTCAAAAATGCCCAAACAAAACAAACTCACTGTCATCGAGTCATAGCAGCCCCCTGTGGGTTTCCAAGCCTTTAACTGGTTATGAGAGCGGAAAGCCCAGTCTTTCTCCGAAGGAACTGCTGATGGTTTCAAACTGCTGACCATGCAGATCATAGCTCAACACATAACCACTAGACCACCAGGACTTATTCTATCTATGGCTATACACTTCTAAAAGCAATGATTCTATCTCTCTAACATGTCTGCATTCTAATCAAAATGGCAGTTTAGGCATATTCAAGAAATTCAAATTCTGTTACTTTTAAATGTTCTTTGAGTTATAGGAGGTCAGAAGGGACAAGATCCAGGTGTATGGTGGATCAAGTAAAGTTTTCCAATATTATCATAGGACAGCCTTTGTTCCCCTCAAATAACAATAAGGGACATTATTATAATGGGGTAAAAATCCTCAGAGGAACATCCTGAACTTTTTCTCAACAATACAATCAATTTTGTTAAACCTTTTTATTATAAGCCCCCACGATTTGCCCTATATCTTTTAAGAAAATCGACCAAGATTTCCTCTTTTGAAATAAGAAAGAAAACATCAAAAACCATTACCATGGTTTTTTGAAATGACCACTCACTATCTCAAATTTAACTGGACTTTTGGAAGCCATGGTTTTGACTGGTCCTTTTTTGAAGGCACTCCAGTGAAACTAAGCAAGTGTTTTACCGGGAGAACTTGTTTGTAGCTATCCATTGATCACAGGCATGTTTAAATATATTTTGTTTGTAATAAGCCCATGCATGTGTGAACTCAAACCCTATGAACAATGCTCCCTCATACATTAGCATGTATATTGTGTTAGGCAGGGTTCTCTAGAGAAACAAACCGGAACACTTATGATTATATCTATCTATCGATCAATCAATTGATAGATATATAAGTTTATAAAGAAAGAAGGAATACAATGGCTAATTAGTCCACACAGCCACACAGCAGTACAAAGGGCTCAGTTCAACTCACTTTCCTAGAGCAGTTAATATACTGAAGGTTCCTTCAACTCATGCAGGCTGAGGTACAAGGTCAAGGAAGGTGAAGGCACAGTCTGCCTTCACACAAGACAGGCAGACTCAGCCCACAAGCAGCAGACAGCAGGGTGGGGCAGCAACAGTCAGTAGCGTAGGAGTTTAATGAAGCAGGCCCCTATGGGGGTCTCAAGCTCTAGAGATGTATGCACAGTGACACATCCACAGGTTGGCTCAGCCTACAGGTAGTGCAGCACACAGCTGAGGTAAAGAACTAGCTCAAGCAGCAGCATGCTGGTCTGATCACCAGAGAGAAAGAAAGATGGGATGCCAGCCTTGGAAAGCATTTATCTCAGTCACCCTTCAAACAAGCTGTGAGCAGATTAAATTCTGCCCACATGTTCCTTTGGAGGACTAGTTGGCACAATAAACCTATCACCTATATGATGTATAAGGAGTCAAAAATGCTAATAGGGTTTGAGTTCATACATGCACAGGTTACAAAATTTTATGTTATTATTCCTTAAGAACTAGATATGTGTGTATATTTAATATGGTTGAGTATAATTTTGCAAATTTTGCACAGTATGTTGATATGTATTATTTTCATAAAATAAAATCAACATGAATATTAAAATAGTCATTTATCAGCATTTACTGCATGGCTTCTCTGGGCATGTTTGAGATTAGACATTTAGCAACTGTTCACTAAGGAATGTCAATATGGTGAGAAAGACAGACAGGTGAAGTAATGAAGATTAATCTGTGCCAGAACCAATAGTAGGGATTGATGCAGAGGGCACTAGAGACACTGATGAGGAAGAGACCAAGTCTTTTGGTTTCATGGCAAGGAGAGGTCAAGATTAGTTCCTTGCTGTTGGTCAAAATGTCTATGGGCCGGCTATCACAGCTAGGCGAATCATCAAAGGCATAGTGGCTATGTGTACTTGGATTTTAAAATGTGCTCCGTTTCTGGAAGTTTCAGGTCATACAGGTATAAGTATGGTACTTTTACAGAACTGTGTTGCCTGAACTCTAACCATATCTGAAAGTAACTAAACAACTCACTTAAACCTATATAGCAGTTCATTTGGCCAGTGTATTTCTAACTAGCCATTCTAAACTAGTTCTAAACATTGAAAACCCTGAGATAAGCTCTCTCCTGGAGTCTCAGCAAGGAACTTTCCCTGGGAAGGACACTTTCTCAAATATATCACAGACTGTCTGACCTCATAACCCACTCTCAGAAGCTGGGATGCTCAGATGGGCCTTCCAGGCAGATCTACACTAATCCTCATGGGCTGTTTATGCTGGGGACAGATACGCCTTCACTTTCTATTTTCATCTCTGTGGCATCGTCACATGCCTGGTTTATCTTGCCCTATCTATGCTGCTGTTTCAATGGAATATTATCATCACTTATATTCAAGGTTGTTTAGGAGACGTTAAACCACTCAACCTTTGTAAAAGGGGGAAAACTACTCTTTAATAAGAACCCTTAAGTGACTGGATCTGAGCTAGTCCCTTAACTTCCATTTGTACCCTGAAAGACTTTAATCATATGTTTGTTGTAAAATCCACATTAAAGATGAGAAAACCAAGCCTTGCTAAATAACACAACATTAAGAATATGGCCAACTTAAGACTTGAACTCCCATCCTTTTTAAGTCATGTGCTTTGTATTCCATCTAAGTCTTGGATTGGAGAGAAGCCCTTCTGGGCTTTATAATGTCAGGAATGACCTCTAGCTTTTGTTGAGGTATGCCAAGGAACCATGCATACCTGGGGTCTTGGCTCCCCTAAGTCTGGTCCAGGCATCCGAAACCCTAAATTTCCTGTTCATTTGAACCTGAGTCTGTTTCCTGAACATAGGCAGACCTCACAATCAACCACTCTTGAGGGTTCATAGAACCACAGTGTGCTTTCTCCCGGGCCTGAGTGGGTTGAGGTATGTGAGGACAGCATGGCCATAAGGGTTGGGTTGTTCACATGCATGCACCCAGGGCCCTTTAAGGCGTGGGCTGGATCCTTGTCATCAAGTAATGGGCAGGAGAACTAGGTGTCAAACTATAAGAAAAATCAAGAATTTTAAGCTTGAAACAGGTTTTGTAGGCTGTTATAAAGGGCAAAATATAAGGATAGAGCATATTTTACTTAATTTGTTAGATTTAATTAAAATTTTTAAATATTTTGATACCAGGTTTCCAATTGCACCCTTGGCTCAGGACCCACAAATCTAAGGGCATTGCCTGTGTCTTTGATTATTTAATTAGTACCTTTTATAGTGAATGGAGAAATCACTTCCCATATGAATGAATGAAGCTTAATTTTCTCATGTCTAACAGTCTTTAAGGATAGTCTTGATAGGATGTATTACCTTTTCTTGATCAAGAAGCTCCTGTAAAATAACTTGTCTTTCCTTGCACAGCTCTAAAAAGTCTTCTGAATGCAGAGTTTCATGTAAGGCAGGGAAGAAAGTCAGTTGGGTGCAATCCATGACCACCTTGTCTTGCTTGCTCTCAGCGTTCTTTGGCATCAGTTCATCTGTGGCAGCATAAAGCACATAGTTTTGGCATGGCTCCAGGAAAGCTGCAAACAGAATGCTTTTCCCAGTGTACCTCTTAACTGTCTCTGAAAATGAATGGCATGGCTCTGATGCATAGTGTTAGTTCTAATCACGTGGTATTGTAATGCTCCTCCATGTGATTCACTCTGGTTTGTGTGCCCAAAGATTTGGTGTGCCCAAAGCTGAGTGCTCTACAGTTCTCAAGGAATCCAGGGAAGATTTTCAAAATGAACTATGATGAAGCAATCATTTCCTGGAGGCTCATTTGATTATCCATTTACTTCAGGGACGGGCTGCCCAAAGGCACTAACTTATTTGTGCTTATTTACTAATCTGTAGTGGACAATTTAATATGGGTTTCACCATATCGCTTATGTTGCTTACTCTATCCTAGTGAAGGATTATACAGAAGCAGACTTTTATTTTGTAGGAAGGTGCTGTATCATTGGGAAAGAGACAGGTGGGAACCACATCTCAAAGCAGAATCTTTGATGTAGTGAAAAAAATGTGAAAATTTCACAATAGATTAGTAAGTAAGTAAGCACAAGTAACCCCATGCCTGCCTTGCTTATTGGGTAATCTGACACTGAATTATTTATATGAACATATTGAACACATTAATATATCAAAAATATTCTCAGCTGTTATAACTGAACAACAGAACAATTTATATATTAAATATCTAGACCAATAATTTAAAAAAATTTTCCTCCCATATGCTTTGGGTTATTTATCTAATATATATTTTCATTAATGGGGAAAACTTTTAAGCTCTCCATGGTATAGTTAATTGATCAGACAATTCCGTAGCCAGAGGGGGTGGGGGTGGGGGTGGAGGAAAGCCATTATTGTTTCAAGAGAGATTCCCTTAATGGTCTAGGTCTAGGTCTAGGGTATTTTCATTGGGATGATGAAGTTAAGGAAAAACATCTTAGTACTCCCTACTGTGGACCTGAAGCCTTTTATATTCAAAAAATATTAAAATCAGAATATTTAATAAAATTAATGATATATTACATGAACTAATAATTTGTTTAGCTACTGAACAAAAAGTTTAAATAAACAAAATACCTTGGTTTCTACCATTTGTTTGAGAAATAGCATCGTTTCTGTCTTCAATCTCCTGAAATATGACCAAATAAGAGAAAAATTAAATACAGCACCCTCATATGTACCTTATCTCCCATTTCACTGATTGACAAACATACATATGCTTGTGTCCCCTTTTGATTACTCATATGCTTTTAAGACTGACCATCAAGGAGACATAAATATTAAATTCTAAAGGAGTACAATAAAATACAAGCATTAATACTCAAGATCAAGGGGGGGGGGCTCTACAATCATCCATTAACTAGAGTAATTACCAAAGATCATGCCAAGATGTCATTCAATAGCATACTGAATGTCTGCTTCGGGGGGGGGCAATGGAGAAGGGAGCAGGGATGGCTAATTATTTTTCTTCTCCAGGAAATGTACTGCAGAAAAAAATTACACACCAACTTGGATAACCTAAGCCATTATGCTTAGTGTACCCATTATGCTTAGTATGGCAGACACAGAATTACAAACATTGTTTAGCTCCACTGATATGAAATATCTAGAAAAGGCAAGTGTAAAAAAATTTAAGACTATTAGTAGTTAGCAAGGGGAGAAGAAAGAGAGAAAAAATGAGCAATTGGGGAACAATGAGTATCTGCTGTTAATACCAAGTGATTATTGTAAAACATGACAAAAGTAATTAATATAACTCAATTGTACATTTGGACTATGTTGAAAGTCATTTCTAGATACCTGGGAGGATTCATGAATCTGTTAAACGACATCAAAACCAAATTATTGTATGATATATGTTGGTCTGCATACATTACCTACCTACATTCTAGCTTGTCCAAAGCACACATGACAGAATCACTATTAAAACAAAACGAACTGCTCAGCTGTGTACCCTCCCACTGAAAATACAACAAACACGGCACTTTTTAAAATGAGGTTACAGGATATGGCTGTTGTTAAGTGCTTTCAAGTGGTTCTGTCTCATAGCAACCCTGTGCCCAACAGAACAGGACACTGCTCAGCCCTGTACCATCCTCACAATTGTTATTTTTAGGCTCAGTGCTGTAGCTACTGTGTCAATTGAACATCTATCTATTGAACATCTTCCTCTTTTCCACTGAGTCTCTACTCTAGTGTATGAAGTCCTTCTCCAGGGACTGGTCTCTTCTGATACCGTATCCATGGTAGGGAGAAAATTCTCACCATTCTTGCTTCTAAGGAACATTCTAGTGGTCCTTCCACCAAGACAGATGTGTTTGTTCTTCTGACAATCCGAGGTACTTTCCATATTCTTTGTCAACACCCTAATTCAGGCGCATCAATTCTTCTATCATCTTCCTTATTCATTCTTCAACTTTCACAAGCATATGAGGTAATTGAAAATACCATCACTTGAGTAGACATCCTTCCCCTTCAACACTTTAAATAGGTCTTATGCAGCTGATTTTACCAATGCTATCTGTTTGATTTCTGTTTTGCATTGTTTGAAACTAGCTTGGGTGTCACAAAAATTGTTATTTTACCTTTTGCGTGTGGAATGTAACACATATAACGAAGAACGTACTATTTGTCGTTCCACAGCCCATTGTAAAAGAGTGACATTATCTCAGTAAAGTACCCACCACCCCATGTAGATTCTTCTTTTTATTTCTCTACCCTCCTATCTTATCTTTGTATACCTCCCCCCTCTTCCCTACCACTTGCCCTCCTTATAGCTTCAAAGTACTTTCCTTTGGTGTGAAAAACTATTTTTCCCTTTATAATAAAGGTGTCATGAAATATTGATCTTTACGATATTAATTAACTGTACTGTGCTCCAATTTAGTCCATGTCACGAGGTGTTTGATAGACTCATTATTATATTCTATTAAGGATGTATAATACTCCAGTTTGTGTCTGTAACTGACTTTATCCAATTTTGCACAGAGTTTTGATTGTTTCCACTGTTTTGGTGTTATATAAATTGCTGTGGTAAACAGGGTGATGCATATATCTGTTCCAGTTTCGTCCTTTTTAGTTCTTTAGGGTATTTATACAATAGAGACATAGCAGGATCATGGGGTATTTGAATTCACATTTGTTTCAAGAAGGGCCATACTGTTTTCCACAGTGGCTGTACAATAGTGCCATCGCACTCATCGGTGTTCCAATCTCTCCGTAGCCTATCTAGCATTTATTATTTTCTATGTTTTTGAATTTTGCGAAGATTATCCATTTGAGGTGGTATCTCATTTTTGTTTTAATTTGTATTTCTCCTAAAGCGAATGCGTGAGAGCATTCTTTCATATGATTGTTGAATGCCTGAAGTCATATTTTGTAAATCATCCATTCATGTCTTGTGGCCATTTTTTGATTAGGTTATTTGTGTTTTTCTTAGTAAGGTGGTTTTGTTTCTATAGATTTTTGAAATTAGCCCTTTATCTGATATATAATTGTCAATTATTTTTCCCCAATCTGTATATTCCTTTTTTACTCTTTGAAGGCAGTTTTTCAAATGTACAAAAACATCATATTTCAGAAGGTTTCCGTCTTTTATTTTGCTTCCATAGTGTTGGAAGTGTTTTCATAATGTTTGGTAGTGTCCTTATGCCTTATATTAGGGCCGTGTGTTTGTCCCGATTTATTTCATTGGTGATCTTTGATTCTAAGGTTTATATTTATGTCTTTAATTCATCTTGAGTTAATTTTTGTTCATAGTGTGAGGTATGGGTTTTGTTTCATTCTTCTGCAGGTGGAGATCCATTTTTTTTCAGCATTATTTATTGAAAAGGCTATCTCGAGTTAATGCTTTTTAGTCTTTTATCAAAAAGCAGGTCTACATATATATTGTTGTACCAACACCAATTATTATTGTGGTGACTATAAAATAGGTTTTGAAATCTGGGATTTAATGCCCTCCTACTTTGTTTCGTTTGCTTTGGTTTGTTTTTTTACACCTTTCCTGAATTTACTTTATTATTATTTTTTTAATTGTTATTAATTGGGAGTTAATACATATATCATTCCATAGTTCAATCATGTCAAGCAGAATTGTACAATTGCTACCACAATGTTTCCAAACATTGTTTTTCTTCCTGGACTCCTTGACATTGTCTCCCTTTTACCTACCCCCTACCCCCTACTGCACCTTCACCCCCTTATTCTACTTGCTGTCCCTATAGGCTCATCAATTCTGGGTTTCATATACCAAAACCTGGAAACACATATAACACAACTGCAAGAGGTGGCTTTTAATGTGTTTTGTTTTTTATTAGTGTACTGTTTATCCTGGGTTTCTTTATTTTCCATATAAGATTGGTGATTTCCCCCCCATTTCCTATAAGAATTATGCTGGGACTTGGGTCAGAATGGCATTAAATTCATAGAGTGATATTTGATTTATTGACTGCTGCTTCTATGAGCATTGATTGTGGATCCAAGCAAGATGAAATTCTTTACAATTTCAATCTTTTTCCATTTATCATGATTATTATTATTCTTCTGGTTGTGAGGATTTTTGTTTACATTTTAAATAGCAATTCATACTGACAGTTGCTGTCCTTGATTTGCATTAGCGAATGCTTCAAGTTCTTCACACTTTCAGCAAGGAAAGTTGTAGCATCAGCATATTTTGGGTTGTGAATAAACCTTTCCCTCATCCTGGTGCCACACACTTCTTTATATAAAGCAGCTTCTTTTATTATTTTCTCAGTATTCAAATGGTATAACTATGGTAAAAGGATATAACTGTGATGTTCACCTTTTGTGTTTTTTTAAATCATTTTATTGGGGCTCATACAACTCATCAAAATCCATACATACACCAATTGTGTAAAGCACACTTATACATTTGTTGCCCTCATCATTCTCAAAGTTCGCTTTCCTCTTTGCAATGCTTCTTTGCTCTGTTTGAAAAACTGCCTCTTGGTCCATGTACAGATTCCACATGAGCACAAGTAAGTGTTCTGGAATTCTATTCTTCTCAATGTTATACATAGTTGTTTATACAGTCACATGTCAATATAGCACAAGTTATTATCCTTCTGTTATTCTCTACTTTCAGGCAAGATCCATTTGACATCAGCAATTAGTCCTCATTCCACTTCCTCTTATGAATCCAGCTTGAATTTCTGGCAGCTCTCTGGTGATGTACTGCTGTAACCATTGTTGAATTCAGCACATTTTACTTGCATCTGATAGCAATTATTTTGTCTGATAATTTCCCCATTCTTGGGTCACCTTTCTTTGAAATGGGTACAAATACAGATCTTTTTGAGTAGGTTGGTCGGGTAGCTGTCTTACAAATTTCATGGCATGGATGAGCAAGTACTTTCAGCTCTTGATCAGCTTTTTGAACTATTTCAATTGGGCTCCTGCCTTCAATGCAGCTTGGAATTCTGCCGTAGATACCCTTTGTTTTTGATAGTATGGTATTGTTGACGTGGTTGAATAGCAAATTTTTTTCTCAGATAGTGACTGTGTATTCTTTCCATCTTCTTTTGATCCTTGTTGCATTGTTCAAATATTTTTCCCATAGACTCTTTCGATATTGCAACTTGAGCCTTAATTTTTTCTTCAGTTCTTCCACGTTGTGAAATACTGAGTATATTTTGCCTTTTGGGATTTCTAACTCCAGGTCTTTGCACATTTCATCATCATACTCTTTTGTACTCTCAAGTTGCCTTTTGAAATTTTCTGTTCAGCTCTTTTCACTTCATTTTTTTTCATTAACTTTCACCACTGTATGATCAAGAGCAAGAGTCTTCTGACATTGACTTTGGCCTTTACTTCCTTTCCTATCTTTTTAATGACCTCTTGCTTTCTTCATATAAGATTGTTCTTGCTATCATCCCAAAATCCATTCCTTAGTGCTCAATCCATCACATCTGTTCTTGTGGTTTTCTCTAAAGGCAGGTTGGATATATTCAAGGTCATAGTTTGGTTCTCATGCACTTGCTTTAATTTTCCTCAGCTTCAACCTGAACTTGTACATGAATATTCAATTTTCTATTCCACATTCAGCTCCTGGCCTTGTTTTAGCTGATGACATGGAGTCATTTTTCCATTGACTCTTCCCAGAGATATAGTGAATTTTACTCCTTCCTATATATTTATCTGGCAAACAGCACGTGCATAGCTGTGTTTATGATCTTGGAAAAAAGTTATTTATGATGAAGTCATTGGATTTGCAAAATGTTATCATGCATTCTCCAGTTTCATTTCTGTCACCAAAGTCATAGTATCAGACCACTGATCCTTTTTATTTCCAATTTTTGCATGCCAATTGACAATAATTATCAATGCATCATGATTGCATATCTGATCAACTTCAGATGAAAGAAGTTGGTACAATTCTTAAATTCCTTTATCACTAGCTTTAGTGATTGGTGTGTAAAATTGAATAATAGTTGTATTAACCGAACTCCCTTGGAGGCTATTGATATTATCCTATTACATATAGCATTGTACTTAAAGATAGATCTTGAAATATTGTTTTTGACAATGTGTCAGCATTCCTCTTGAATTTGTTATTGCCTGCACAGAAAACCATATAATTGTCCAACTCAAAAATTGAATATAAGAACAGTGAAAGGATCAGTAATTCCTCTGGTGTGAAGAGAGGGAGAAGGAGAAACAGGGTAGTTTAAGAAACTATTGTGTATGTTCCTGTATTTGTAGCTAAATGACAGCATTAACTTGTTGAAATCCAAAGAACTTTCTAACCCAAAGAGGAAGCTGTAATAAAGACTATGGGCTTTACCTAATAACCACTGTTCATTCATTCGTTTTAACAAATGTATCGGAAGAATGTAAAATGTTAATTGAAGATATAATGTAGAGGGTGATGGGTATGATGTATGTTTTTGTATTTTCTGGCAATTTAAAACAGTTCTGAAATGAAAATTACTGGTGAAAATGAGGTAGGGAAACTTCTATGTATCTTCTGTCTCAAACATAGCATGAGAGCCTATGTTTTTCCCACGGAACCAAGTCCTTACCTTGTCAGTTGCTTGGCGCAGGGCCACCAGTGGAGACAAACGTCTGATTCTTCTCCTCATGCGAGTAGGTCCTTCTCTCCAGTCCAACTCCCACCGTGACCAAGGCATGGTTGCCATTGTCTGGCCCCACAAACCCAGCTCCCCAAAAAGTTGCTCCTTGGTGCTGGCCCACGCTTTGGCTGCCTTCATGTGGCCACATCTCTGTCTCTGAGGAGGAGAAGTGCGACATCACGCTGGTTACATTGGCCTTCTGGACTGACGACGGACCTCCTCTGCTCAACAGTTTCCATAACTGTGTGGAAAAATACCACCCTTTCCCCTCGCCCCACATGGGCATGTAGGAATTCTTTGAAGTTAGAACCAGGCTAGGAAATGGAAAGTTATGTCTTGGCTTTGAGCACTGATTCTAAATTGGAGAAAACTTATGTTCCTTTGGCCACTAAAAGTGCCTGCTAGAAAACACCATGTCCCAGAGGTCTTAAAGGATGAACGGACAGCTATTTTATAAAATTTGCAGTGAATTTATAACATGGACAAACAATTTCCCACATTACTCAGGTGGTTCAATGGTAAAATTGTCAACTTTCATGCAAGAGATCTAGATTTGATTTCAGAGAAAGGATTTCCTTCTATTTATCAAAGAAGCTTGCATGTGGTTGTAATGTTGATGAGGTTTCAATGGACCTTTCAGACTATGATTAGGAAGACAGGTCTTTTAACAATCAGTCAATTAAAATTTTACGGGTGCTAAATCCATTAGATGGAGGAAGAAAAATCTTCTCAATAAACAGTGCTGAAAAAATTGAGTTTCCCCAATGAAATAGGACTCATGCCTCACACTATAAACAGAAATAAATTCAAAATGGATTATGGCATTAAAGTGTGCATACTAAAGTCATAACATTTTTAGAGGGACAACGCTGTCAGGCCTGATTTTCAGAAGCGGATTTTAAAATATACCATAAAAAGCATCAATAGGAAGAGACAAATAAATACCTCGCCGCTCTTAAAAATGAAAGTCATTTCTTTCACCAAAAAACAACCAAGAAAAGTGAAAATGTAAATTACCAACTGGAAGACTATTTTTAGAAACCACATACCTGACAAGAATCTAATAATAAAACTATATATAAAATTTAAACAATTTAATAAAAAAGACAAGCCAATCATAACATAGACAAAGGATTTGAATAGACATTTCACCAAAGAAGACATTTGAATGGCTACCAAACAGGAAAAACACCTCAGCATTACTAGCCTTCAGAGATGCAAATCAAAACTGCAACAAAATACCATTCCACTCCCACTAGAATGGCTAATATTAACCAGCAACATAAATAAAAAATAACAAATTCTGGCAAGGATGTGGGAAAATTGGGAATGAAAAATTACAAAACCATAAAACAAAAGCAGTGTGGTAGTTCTTAAAAAACACTGACAGAACTTTCATATGATTCAGCAATACCATTCCAACATAGGCATATATCAAAAAAATTGGAAAGCAGAGATTCAGAGACTTGCTGCATTATTCACAAAAGCCCCAAAGTAGAAACACCTTAAATGCCATTCAACAGGTGAATAGAAAAAAGAACATTTAAGTATATAATACAATGGAGAAATGAAGTCTCAATACATGTTACCGTATTGATGGTACTGGAAAATTTATGCTGAGTGAAACAGATCAATCACAAAATGGAAATTACTATATGACCTCACTTATATAAAAAGACAAGAAAGGACAAATCTATAGAGAACAAACTCCTATTACAGGACTTACCAGGGATGGCAGGAAGGGGAATAGAGGATAGTTTGTGGTGATGGAAACTTACATTGATTAAGCATAGGTTTTTTTTCAGCCAATTGTCAATAAGTTGTCCACCTGTACAAAGTTGACTTGGCAAAGTTGTGTGATATCTTTACAACTGTGACACACACAAAAGAGTAGCTATTGAGTACAAACACCTCATGGGGTTTCATGCCTTGGTTTGGAGATATGGTGGTTAGATGTTATGACAATTTGATGGTACCTATGTGGAAGTAGGTGTGGAGTCCAACCGGTCAATCAGGTGGTAGGCTCCAAGGGAGTCACTGACCTTGGAAAGCAACCTAGGGGCTGTCAGTTTAATGTTCATGAATTGAACATGAACATGTTCATGAACATGAGTCCACTCACGACCATCTAGTTTATGTGCAAACAGACCTTGTATCCATAATACTCTGCACTCATGGGCCTCTGATCACCCTGCTTCCAACTTCTGTTTCATCAGCCTGCTGCAACTACATGTATCTGAAGAGGGTTCTGGTTAACTAGGCTGGGATGCCTTCTTGATGTAAAGGTTTTTTTTAAAAACCTTCTTGATTTACAATTACTTCTTGATATAAAGCTCTTTCTTAGACATACATGTGTGTCACTGGTTTTGTTACTCTAGATAATCCAGCCTAACACAGGAGATGTAGGCTCATAGATTCATGGGACATCCAAGTTAACTCTTCTAATAATGCGTTAGGTATTCCTCTTTGTTGTGTAGTTCCTAGGATCCTAAAAGCATTCACTTGAAAATCCAAGGGACAAAACCTAATCTGTATTTCCAGTAGCAGGAAATGAAGAAGGAGATTCAGTATTAGAGGAGGAAATGAAATGTGTGGCTAATTGCTCACATAAACAACTACCTCCTGCCTGGTCTTGGCACAAGGGACACCATTTTGAATCCAGCACCTTCTTGGTTCTCAGAACTCACCTCTCATGGGCCTCCCTCACATCGGCCTTCCCTCCCCTCGCTGAAAATCACCAGTTCTGAGAACCAGATATCCCCGAGAAAGAATGTTCTTTGAAGATATGTTTACTTCACCTGCCCCCGGTACCTATAGATAAGATTAACGACCACTTCCCTGCATCCTTTGAAGATGTGTTTATTCCACCCATCCCGGACCTATAGATAAAATTAATGAGCGCTTCCCTTTGAAGTCCCTGTTCGCAGCTGTGCCTCCCACCAGGGGATATAAAAACGCAGCCAGAAATTCCCCTCGCGCGGTTTCATTAGCTCAATACGTGAGTTATTGAACCCGTCCGCAAGCTTCTCAATAAAGCCTGCTTCTAAAACTTTACCAATTGGACCTTTAATTCCGCTTGGCGCCCCCAAAACCCTTACATCTCCTTTATCATGAGACCAAAAGAACTGGATGGTACCCAGCTGCCATTACTGAATATTTGATCCTGGATTCCATAGTCGAAATCTAATCAAAATGGGAAAATGCAAAACATAATTTTAAGTTTTCCTAGACTCTAGACTTCATAGAGCCATGGACGGTGGATGATCCACTAAAGTTATTACTGTGAGTTAATATTTATATCTTGAACAAAAAATATTCCCTAAAGTTTTCTTAAAACCAAATGATTATTTAGTTTAACTAGTGCAGTTGTCTACCTTGAACACTATACCCTTTAAAAGTATATATGGGGTCAAATTGAAAACAGCAACTCAAAATTTTATATAGGAATCTTAGGATGAAGTGAGTTTAGGTTAATGAGGGATTAATAACAGAAAAAAGAGAATGAGAATGGTTACACAACTCAAATAATGTAATTAAAGTCACTAATTTGTACAAGTAAAAACTGTTTAATGGGTGTATGTTTTGCTGTGCATATTCTCATCCATCACCACAAAATAACTGTTTTTTTTAGGAAAATAATCTGGTATACAATCAATCATGGGGATAGCATAGGGCTGGGCAGTATTTAATTCCATTGTGTATGGGATGAGGCTGACTTAACAAAAGTTAACAACAGCAACGCTTGAACAATGATGCTGAAGATACTTACCCCAGTCGTCGGAATTGACCGTGTAATGAGAGTTAACATACTTGCTACTAGTGTGTTGACTTCAACAAGTCATTCCTGTTCATGGACCTCATATTCGCCAACTATTAAATTTTAATGTTAGATATAGATGATTCCTAAGGCCCTTTCCTATACTATTATTAAAGAATATTCAGGTTTCTGGTTTCTGGAATGTTCATCAAAGTTTAATGTTCATGAATTGAAGTATGCTCATTAAAAACTAGTTTATGTTGTTTTTGTTTTGTTTTAAAAATTTGTAAAATCATCTGAATTCTTCCTTGCAAGTCTGGCTAGACCAGAGGATGTACACTGGTACAGATAGGAACTGGAAACACAGGGAAT